TTTCCTTTCGGACCGGGCATTGGGCACCAGTTTGGACTCCAATATCGTCGGGTTTTTATTAATTTATTCGTACTTTATATTTTGTTTGTCCCATTTTATTTTTTCATATTTAATTTTGGTTATTATTTTGAAATATTATATTAAATTAAAATTTTAAAAAATATATTTTTTGAAAATTTTGGAATTAAAAATTCACAAGTCATTATCTTTAAAAGTTTATAATTTATAATTTTATTAAAAAAATAATCAAAGTTGAATTTGTGTGATAAAAAAATTAGGGTTAACAACTAAGTACTTCTAGTTTAGATTTTTTTTTTCTTGTAACAAATACACTAACATTGTTCTCATTTTTTTTTAATGAATATGACAATTTTTTATTAGGATTAGCATCTAAGTACTGCTAATTTATATGAGCAAAGCTGTAGATTATATTATCTATTGAACCAAAATTATTAAAATTATCGAATTAATTTAAAATTTTACACGATGATTTTAAATAACTAATTAATTATCATGAATATATATAATCTATTACTTCTAAGAAAATTACTAACAAAAATAAGGAAAATTTCATTTTTTACATAAAAAAGCTAAGTTTCATGGCATTGCTGTTAGAGTTTACTAAAATCAGAGAAGAAGAAAAAAAAGGAGGGGGGGGGGGTGTTTAAGTTTCATCCCTCATGGAGAATGGATTGCCTAACCATAATGAATTTCTTCTTAAGCTAGACAATTGCCATGTGCCATTCATTTTTCTGCGTATTTTAGCAATTTTTTTAACCTTTAGAACATATTCTGGTTACTCTAAAAAATAATAATTGAAACCATCGAAAAAAAATTGATGAAAAAGTCGACCGATTGGTATATTATTAAAATTGATATTTAAAGGTTATGAATTTCAAAAAATTTATGTATATAATTTTTTTTTCAATCAAATAAACAATAAGATAAAAAATTTAATAATAAATTAAAAATAAAAACAAATCAACAGAAAAAGAGAATCTATATTGAACGTTCCTATCATTATTAAAAAAAAAAAATTTAAATTTTATTTTATTTTGTTATTATATCATTGTGTTGGATAATTCATTAACTAACTACTCGAATTGGGACATTAATTTTTCAACGATTTGATTCTCAAAAACACCATTGTTAATACAATAAATTAATATTATTGAACTAAATTCAATACAAAATATTATTTACTCTTAAGATTCGGAGACTTATCTTAACAAATTTTTTTTTCATTGAAAAGAAGTTTTTTTATGAAAGCAAGAGTGATCTTTATTTTAAGAATTATAGTTTTATACTTAATTAATAAATGCGATATCATTTTTCCTAAGACTCTTTGCTCTTAGGAGGTAAGGCAAATTCAAATTTTAAACCCCTATTTTTGTAGATGACATACTTTAAAATTTACAAAGTGACATTAACAACTAATTACATATTAGGGTCCTTCCCATAGCCTTTTTTTTTTTGTTTCTCTTTAGCTTTCAAATCATGTCATAAATTTCGTGGTCCTTCCCACTTCTTGATTCTCTAAATCAATAATTTAAAATATGACATAATAACAAGATATAAATATAATATAAAAAATAAATATAAAAATAATATAATTTAAAATTTTAATAATAATATATAAATTTAATAAAATTAATTAAGATTATATAAAATATAATATAAATATATAAATTTAAATATTTTACATAACATAAATTATTAAATTATTAAATTTATTTATGACATTGCACCGCGTTTATTATTTGGTGATATTTCCTCGACCTAGCAACGTTTCTAGAACTACTGCCACCAAGAAAAACTGGTTTCATGTTGTTTTTTTCGTTCTTGGCCAAACAAACAAAAGAAAAGTCTTTAAGCTCACGTTGACGAATGATTTAATCTATAATTAGGGATAGGATGGGAGGACTCCGATGTTCTGGTAACAGGCAAATATACTACGGCATTGAACTCTTGGAATCAAAATTCAATCAATTATTATTGATGCAGTAATAATTTGAACTTTATATATGATAAAACTTGTTTAATAATTTTAAATTTTAATATCATAATTTTTTTTATAAAAAAATTATGATTGCCTATCTTAATTTGTTGGAAATCAAAATGTTAACAAAATTTTTTTTTTTGTTAATTTTTTAATTTCCTAACAATTGAACATAAAATTTTACTATATTTACCTGACACAAAACAAAGCTTTTTTTTTTTTTTTATGGTTTCAACTGGGGAGATTTTAAATTTCTTAATAGCTGTGAATGATTTTTTATTTGTTTTCTTTGTAAAAGTAAAAAAAAAGCAACCACTTTATTTATTAAGAAATGATTCTTTCAATTATTTAAAAAAAACAACGAAAGTTTATTTAAAAATAAATAATACATTTTCACATAAGTAAATGATATTAGTTTAAATTATTTTTGTTTTTAATTAATTTTATATTTAATTTAAAATCATTGAATATCAATCTTAAACTTAAATAAAAAAATATATTATTCAAGTAATTACAAATAATAAAAACACCTTTTTTATAAGCAATATACAAGCAGCCGTGTTCAGCATCCAGATTTGAAGAGATTTTATGTTTATAAAATTTTTTATGAACAGCTATCAATTTTCAATTACTTAAAAAAAAAAATTTTCCCGATTTGTAAATTTATATAATATAAAATATTAAAATTTATATATTTATATTATATTTATATAAAATTATGTATTATAATTTAAATTATATAAAATATAAAATATAAAATTTTATTACACTAATATATAATTATTAATATAAACTTTAAATTATATCATTTTTAAATTTTATTTTTATATTATATTTTTATTGTATCATCTTAATGTATTTTAAATTTTTAAATCTATAACAAATTAATAAAAAAATTGTATTAGTAGTTTTCAACGTATAAAATCGTATTTAGTTGACTATGCCACCTCGTTGAATTTAAGGGCATTTGCAAGCCTTGGGACTTTTAAATCCTATAATCCTGATTCGACCAAATCGAAAGATATGATGGAAGAAATAGACAGGAATCATCGTTGTCAAACCTTATCTCTATTGCAACGCAGTGGCCAATGGGTTGGGACTTGCAGTTTGCGCAAATTTGAAGTTGTCCCAAACCGGTTTTAGCAGTTTGAGTTTACGTTCGGGATAGAAGTTTTTAAAAAAGGAACAATGAAAAATTAATCTAATAATTAAGATTTCATAACATGTATAATATTTTAAAATTTAATAATTTTATTAGATTTAAAATCTAAATAAAAATAATAGAGATTAATAAAAATAAAAAAAATTAATTTTATATTTAACATGTTAAAAGGGAATTATCATTTAACAATTTTCATATTCTATTAGAATTAAAATAATCAAAATTTATTATTTTATAACTCAATAATTAGATTAAGTTTTTTTTTTTTTTTTCATTTTTCCTACCAAAGTGAAGTTTTGACATTTTGATGGTGGATCTATTTGTAATGAAAATTTTTTTGTGCCTTTAGCCACGTGGACCTTTTCTCACGAATTCAAAATTTAATATTTTAAAAAAGGGAAAATAATATAGTATTATTAAAAGGCAATTTATGAAAGTCCAATCTTGTCAGCCCGGGGTATGTGTTTATAAATGGATTTGATTTTTCCATGAAATGATTGGATACAATCATACCAAGATGAAAGGTCCAGGTAATTATAGAGATCTGAATGGATTCGAACCATTAACCTCTCGAAGCTCCATTGGGAGTGATTGCTATATCGTTTTGAGTTTACAAATCTTTTGAAATACAAGAAACAAAAATATGAATCGATGATCATACCTATTATTTAACACACCGTCCATAATACTTAGAATTAGTCCGATAAAATTTATTTTTTATAAATTTTTATAAATTCGTTAGATTCAATAAATATATATATATATATAAACATTCTTAACTGATAAATAAAATATAAAACCTTAAAACTCTCACAAATTTTTTTTTATTTTTTATATAAAAAAATCGTATTTTAAAAATAAAATATTTTGAAAATAAAGTAAACATATTAAAATTTAAATTTACCAAATATCAATTTTTAATTATAATTACAAAAACCAATTAAATTAAATTAAAATGCAACAAAACCCTCTTTTTGCATCCCATAATAGCGTTCCATTGTTACGAAAAATCAAATTTATTTTTTATCCGATCGAATAAAAAATAATTTACACACGCATGCCACTAAAAATAATTAATAAAAATATAATTAATCGAATTTAAATTAATACAATATTATAGTTTAACTCAATTCCAAATTTAAAGTATAAAACACAACTCAAACATGATTTAATTTTTTTTTTTAATTTAAACTTCGCTCAAAATAAAAATCATATTTAAACTTATTCAATTAAATTTAATTAATATATATAAATAAATCAATTATTATATTCAACAAAAATTTAATTATTCATACTTAAATTTAAACTTAAATTTTAAATATTTTATTAATTAAAATAATAAAAATATATTTAAATATAAAATTTAATTAAACTCACGAGTTACTTATAATTATAAATAAATTTAACACTCAACTTAATTGATGAAACAAAAACTTAATTGATGAATCAAGTTACGTAGAACTTAAACTTAACTTAAAAAATAATTAAACCAAATTCAAAATTTATTTTAATCAAATCTAAACTTATAAATATCATTTGATCCCTTAATTTCACTTACTCGGAAAAGGGGAAAAAAAAAACTTATCACCGTAATTTTCACAACCAAGAAATGGGGAATTTTCAATCGAGAAACGTTCTCACCACAGGATTTTTTTTCTCTATAAAATAGAAATCAATTATAGTCATCATTTTCACCCTAAAAGTATAATGGAACGAACTCGTAATTGAAAACTAGTAAGATAATGTTGAAACAAATAATTTATTCACATAAAATGTAGTTTGATTAAATAAAATTTCTAAAAATAGTACCAAAAAAAAAAAAAAAACAATCTAAATTCATTTTTGTTTTTGGTTTTCATTTTATAAAGTTTTTAGTTTAAATATTAAAGGGCTATGAAAGAAAGTTCAATCTAACACTACTAAAATTCAAAATAACAATAGAAAGACAAAACATAATTATTAACATACTTCATCACCGCTCAAATATAAAACCCACAATAGAACTACTAATAAAACAAGGAAATTTTCATAGAAATATTTGCGATTCAATTTCACTACCAAAAGCTAAATTTAAAACATAGAACCTTTAACACACTAAATTCAATGTGCCTTCAACCTGCAAAAGAAACTTAAGAATAAATCAGATAAAAATCCATTTAGATGTTATTAGCTTTTTCTTGATACTTAGGGAACAATGAAAAAAGACTACCTGTGATGCGATAGCATATCAAGAGCGTCAAAGAAGTAATTCAGCTTTGATATAATTGGGAAAGTGCCAATCACCAACATAATTGCGCGTATGAATATAAACTGAACACCAAAATTTACGTGGAAAACCCCTTAAAAAGGGGAAAAACCACGGGACCATAGTCCACTGAAAAAGTTCACTATGTAAAGGAACTGGTTACATGGTGACAGGTGCCTCATGGATCAATCTTGGACAACAAATAAACAGTTCTTCCACACTAATGTCAGTAGAGAGCTGCACCATGTAAAACAAGAGGGTTCAAATAATAAGGCCTTCAAGGGTTCAAGATTAAGCAACTGATGAAAAAATCTTTCAAGGGATGGACCTGCTGTAGTAATGAATTTTGATTATATGGGGCCTTCCAAAGCTTGACTAGTAGACTGCTGCAGTCCCACATACCTTCTGACATAAATCTTGGAAGTTGACCAAGCTTGATAAACACTTCACATACCTTGATTTTCAATGTTAATCACAGAGAAGAGACATGCAACTGCCAACATCATGCTCACTGCTGGGACATCTTTCATCAAAATCTTTGATAGCCAGTACCCCATCTTTCAACCCAATGGAAACAGAAGCCATGCAAGGGCCTAAAGAACTACAATAGCAATACAAGCGAAGTACATATATGCTGCCTCAACCTACATATAACATTTTCTAAGAATCACAGTTTGGTAATGCACTAGAAAAACAATACTGAGATGCTCACTCGCATTCCACTTGTAAGTAAAATGAAAATGTAAATCACATAATAAAGAAACTATCATAGGCAATTCAAGGGCACCAAGATTTTGCAGCACACAATATCAGATCAAATGACCTCAAAATAGAATAATCATGAATTGAAACTGTAAATTGATCCATGTGTTATAAAGATAAACTTCAAAAAAGGAAAATTTAATGTGTTAACTAGATGGCTTATTTGTCAGCACTTCGTTAACGGAAGCCAATTGTACAAAAAACAGTTATCTGAAATGGCCTTAGAATCCAATGCATTTAGAATGGTGATTAATCTATTGCTCTAAAGGAACCATGGCAATTGGAGATGTGTTCAACTTCTCATTTTTGCAAGTATATCAGATACTTGAGTACCGACTCTTTTAATTGAATTCAATCTCATTGATAGATTGTTGGTTTTATAATTAAGTTTCTCTAAGAAAAAAAAATTGTAAACGAGTTACTTAAAACAACTTAGTACTGCCTAACTTTAAAAAAAAAAAAATCAAAATAATTCAAATTTTTTATTAAAAATATGAATAATTAAAAATCATCTCAAAGAACTCGTTGCATGTTATCAAGTATTGTAAATCTAACTTGCATAATAAATAGCAAATATCTAAATTAATTTTGAAGTAAAACTATATAAGGCAAATTTTGGTTTGAAATATGTAAATAATACCTTGGCCTTGCGATTTGCAAGTAGTAGAAGATCAATGACTTGGGAGATCATAAGATTATTATTCCATGTTGGCGATGATGATGATGATGATGATGATGATGTTGGCGATGATGTTGGTCATGCATCCATCTCAGATGGTGCAGAGTATTAAAGGGAGAAAATAATAGAGCGCTAAGAGGGAAAAAAAAAAGTAAAAGAGCACGAAACGCCACACCACAGCAGAGGGGAGAACCTGGGCAATCCCCATGCGAACTCCCCTCAAAAACACCGAGAAAACCTAAATTTTTATTATGTTTCAGTGACCTGCCATGCAAGCGCACCTGTCATGGCAAAGATCTGGGATGACAAAGATAAATCAGGATCAGCCCCCTTCCAAAATAATTAGGACTTTTTGCCCTGACATCTTACACATCCTTCCAAACACAAACCACCCGTCCATCCCACATCGCTAGTTCACAACATCAGAAGCCTGATTTTCACGATGCATCCGAAAAATAAGAACCACGACCCTTGTGAGATAAAACCTTTCACCATCCCTACAAAATTATAGAGCAAAACATAAACAAAGAAACCCATAACACAAGAAAAAAGAAACATAGACAAACATATATAAAATCTTTCACAATCCCGGCAAAATTATAGAATAAAACATAAATAAAGGAACCCTGACATAGGAAAAAAGAAACAGAGACAAAACATACTTGGGAAGACAGATCTCTTCATATTGATATAACATTCTACGCCAATCTTTGCCTGATTAACATCTACGGCCTATAAAACATAGATCCGACAACGTCAATCTTTTTATCGTGCAAAATCTGATATAAAAAAGGAGATCAAAAAGCCATGCGACTGCTTCTGAAGATAGAATCCTCAGACGGACAACCATGGAAGATAAATCTGATCTGCACAAAGTGGACGGCAAGAATGAAAAACATAAGAGGAGTTTATGATGGAACTTTCAACAAACAAAGACTAAAATATATAGTGGCTTTTTGAAGAATGGACGGTCAAGATAAGAGTGTTGGAAAGATGAACGGGTAACATGCGTCCACGTGTACTAAGTCGGTGGCCTTTTTCCTAGAAAATTATGTTAAAAGAAATTGTCCAATAGGTTTGGCGCCACGTAAGCGTATGAGTTGGGGTACAGGTGAATGTTTGTGAAATTGCGTTTGTGGTTACGCAAATTGGGTTAGGTTCGTTCTCAATCTTATCCGACTTGTTAATAAGAAAAGGACTCTATTACCCTCAAAAATCTTTCCATCTAAAACACAGGCAAATTGTACCTACCGTTATGAGGCTTGTTTGTTTCACGAGATTGCTGTTTCATTTAGGAATGTTTAAATTTTGGAATTATTTAATTTAAAACAAAGTTGATTTATTAGCCAAATGTTTATTTTAGTAATTCTATTTTGGTTTCTGTTTTCAGAAAAAATGAATGAAAAGAAAAACATAAAAACTTAAAATAAATATAAAAATAAAAACATTTACTTAAACTATTTTTTTGGTTATAAAATAAAATAGAAAAGAAAAAAAATAACTACATTCTAATTATTTTGTATCCATTTTCTTCAATTTCACTAATAGTCTATGGATAAATTATTTTATTTTTTATTTTTATTTTTGTATTTAAAAATAATTAATTATATTTTGGTAGCTGAATTTTTAAAAAAATTGTATAAATTGATAATTGAAAAATTAAAATTTTATTTTATTCTCTAAACTTTTAAATTATATATCATTTTTATTTAAATCTAATACTAACATTGATAACTTTAACTTGCCAATATATAATATTTAATCAATATAATTTTATTAAATACATATTTATATTATTTTTAAATAAAATATTAAATATTTTGCAAAAAAAAAAAATTATATAGATGTCAGATCATTTTTGGATAATTTTTATTATTTATATAAAAATATATTTTTTAATTTTATATTAAAAATATTAAAAATATATATAATAAATACCTAATTCAATAATATTTTTCATACACCAATTATATAATTAATAATAATTATCAAACGTCAATTATATAAACTTATGCGATTAACAAGATTAAAATTTGAATTATCATGATTATAATTTAATATTTTATTATTTTATTTTTTAAATATCAATTTATATAACTTTTTTAAAATTTTAAATATCAAAAAAATAATTAACTCGTTCAAAAATAATAAAAGAACCGATCCAAAGAAATTTAATAAAGTTTGACTACATATAAATAAAAATAATTTTTTATGGCTATAAAGAAGGGAGGAAATAAAACAATTAAAACTACATGCCACATCAAATTATAATGACCTTACATTTGCTGGATTAGGACATCAAACAAGAATTAAAGAACACATTGACAAACACATGGAGATGATGAGCGACTCTCGAGCTGTTATAATTAAAAATGTAATCGAACCGAATTTAATCGATACAATAAAAAATTTAAATTCAATTAATAACTTACGATTCGATATTTGATTCAAATTCGATCGAATTTTATTTTTTAAATTTAAATTTTATTCATGATTAAATTCGAGTTACTCAAACTCGTTCGATTAAATTTAATTAATATATAAAAATAAACTCGATTCGTATACTCGATAAAAAATTTGATTATTATGTTTCGAATTTAAATTCGAAATAATTTATTTAATTAAAATAATGAAAATATATTTAAATATAAAAATTCGATTAGGTTCGCAAGCTATTCGAATCGAATATTAAAAATATTTAAATTCGATTCGATTGATAAATCGAACTATTCGAGTTTGAATTCGACTCGATAATAATCGAATTGAATTCAAATTTTTTTCAGATCGAATTCGAATAATTTATGAGTATTAATATATTATTTATATTTTTAATCATGATCACATAGAAAGACTAGCAGTCGAAAGAGAAAATAATTGGCAAATAGATGTTATTAAACATCAAATTCTCTATGTTCCCCAATTAATTCGATGCGTGAGTTTGGTGCCTGGCTTTCTCCTTCTCCTTCACTTCACTCCCCTGGCTCTTGTCATAAGCTTCATGCACAAAAAGCAAACTTGTTCAATTAAAAATACAAACGAATATTTCTTGCAACGACCTTAATTCAGGCTTCAACTCACCTGGATGATTTTCGTTGATCTCCTTGTCCGTTTGTATTTCGGATTTACTCTGGTTCCCTCCGTAAATCCCTCCAAATCCTTCTTCATCTGACCTCGTCGCATATCCCTCTCCAAATGAATGAGACATCAAATCCCTTAAATAATCAAAATTGAATATAAAAATAATATTGAATTCAAATAAAATTTAAATTTAATTTAATTATTATTAAATTATTCAAGTAAACCGATTTATCGAACAAATTAAATTTAAATTATTAAACGAGTTAAATTTAAGTTTTTTTATTTGAATAATTTATAAATTTAATCGATTTTTTATATTTTAATTTTTTATTATTTTAATTAATAAATTATTATTTTAATTATATATATTTTAAATTTAAATTCAAATATAAATAATTAAACTTAAAATTAAATATAAAAATTAAATTATTTTTATTTAATAAATGAATTTAACCGAATAAATACAAATAATTCATCGAATTATTTTTTTATTTCGAATTTAAAATTTTAAATTGATCGAATTCAAATAAAATTTAAAATAATAAATTTTAAATCAAATTTAAAATTTTTATTGTATCAATCCATCTTTACTCGATTACGCTTTATATCAGGTAACGATAGATAGAGAAGCAAAAACGTTAAAGCAGTTTTTTCAATAATGTTCATGTTACTAACCCAGTTTTTCCTTCGGATGTTTCCTTTCTGCTCCATGCTTTGTGGGTTTTCTTGACGCGTGGAAGAATTTGTGACAGTCCCGAAGCTGATCGCTGAACTTTTGTGTCCCAACGAGAAAATTGCTGGTGGCTGAGCTCAAACTAATCGAATTGCTTGATTCATTTCCCCATTCTTTCGAGTTGTGAAGATCGCTATATACACATTATAGATGAAGAGATTTAGTCAATAAATACGTGTCATTAAAAGCTAAAGACAGAAATTAAGACCGGTTCAATAGTGTTGATCGAGGCAGCCCTACAAAAAAATCAGAAAATTTCTTTCTTGGTAAAGACGCATGGAAATGTTGTGGACACGTGTCGATTTTTTATGCGGTTATGGTTACGTGGGGGTTTTCAGCTCTACTTGCAGGTAATTCTCTCACCCAGATGGCATTTCCATAGGGTAAGGCTTGGTTTCTGGATAACGATGATCCAGTTATTTCCAAATTCGAAGAGTAAGGGCGAGAAAAAATAAATAAAATTTGATTCCAAATTATAATATTTGATTTAATTTAAATTAATTTTTTATTTGATTTATATTAAAATTAAAATTAAATATACATATATTAATTTTAAATTAAATTTTTGATCCAAAATATAAAACATAAAAAAATTGAATCAAATTAAATTAAATTAATTAATTTATTTATATATTTTTAAATTTTTATAAAATAAAATAATTATCATATAAAAATTTAT